AAAGACATTTTCTAAAGTGCAGATACCACTTAAAATGTTCACATGACTTTTCTCTCTAATTTAAGAAGTCTTGCGACTCTCAGCATGGTTCGATTTGATTTATCGGCACAACAAAATGAAGAAAAAATCCGAAGTGCGGCTGCAGAGTTAGCTGATCACACCGTAATGGAAAGATTGACACTAAGTGGCTTCGGAGATTCGCGTTTAAAGTCTGGACATATTTGGATGCGTTGAAGGATGCCTGATTCGCGTCTTCTAGAATTTCTGAAGGGTGTCAAACAAGTCCCCAGAAAACATTTCTGGATTTTTCAGTGAAGGGCGCCGAACCTAATAATTTTCATGTCGTGCATAAGTTAAAAAGTTCTACCACATATCTGCCAAATTAGCCATTAGTTCTGAGACACCGTACTTGCATCATTTTCTCACTTTTAATGCGTTCAGTTACTTACTTCTTCGTAAATAGAGGTATTTTGCTGCGATATTTGTCGAAAACGGTTATAAAAGGCGTCCGATACTGGATCGTCAACATTAATATTTTCAGGATTTTCATTTAAAATACCCAACATCGTTCTACACATACACATACAAAGACTTTTAAAGACGTCTGTTGGTATCAGGGATAGAGGTGCAGGACTGCCCATGCAACTGTTAAACGGGTAAATCGACTAGTCGAAGGGCCATTTTCAGACTGGAAACTACAGTAGTCAGTAACTCGTCGAAATTGATCCAATCCGACTTTCAGCAATTAAGACAAATACATTGTCTAAGTATTTACGTTGAAAAAGAATAATGCTTTAAGACAAGTTAGAGAAACGTTAACAGACTCTGAAATAGTTCTTTCCAAGAAAGTTGATTTCGCTCTTATCGAAAATAATCGTAGTATTTACAGTTGTATCAATGCTAAAGGCTGAAAGGAAAACGTTTTGGTTTTTACTTGAAACTTATGCATTAGTCCATGAAGTGAACAACTCTTGACTGACCACCTGTATATTTAAAACAAACAATCTTTTTTTGCTGAATCACACACGCTGAGAGTCATAGAAATATGGACCGCTCGTCTTCTTATCTGTTGTACTAAAAACCGTTCAAGATTCGACAAAGAGAGAGAAGAGGAATTTTTCTGGAAAATTTCCAAAAATATTTCTGCGAAGAAAATAATTTATCATGATTCTATTTGGAAGTGCTTGATTTGTTTAATTATAGAGTCATACCGAGAAAACTTTTTCTCTTGAACAAATTTCTTACTTAAATAATTTTTTCCTCCAACTGGAGCAAAATTTTCCAACTTCAACCGGATGCCCATTAAAAATTCCATCTTCCAGTTGAGTATCTTGTACAACAAGAGCAATTTCGCTATCTCGATCACCTTTGAGTGAGCGATCGTTTATGTTTGCTGAACCACAAATCGCCCATTTATCATCTACAATCATCAGTTTCGAGTGTATATAGATGATTCCTGTTACCTTTTAAAACAAAAAAACAATTTTTTATATCTCGCAATTTGCTATGACAGCTGTCACTTACAAGTTTTCCCATGAGAATATCATGACCACGCATACCAAAGAAACTGACGTATTCTTCGGGCTTGACTCCTAAAGGAAATAATTTGAAAAACATTAGTGAATGAAGCTACACCGGAGTCAAAGTTACATAAGACATAACTCGAGATCTTTTCAGCGTTTTTTTTTCGAAGAACATTCTCATTTTTTTATAAAAACTAAGACAAGATCACTGGCCTATAGTTATGGAGAATAAGTTTGCACATTTAAAACATTTTACTGAGATTAGTCAATCCCAAAAACAAATTAAATGTCTTCTACTCATTTGTCAATGATCAACTAACTTCCACTATCAAACAAAAAATTTTGTCTACCAAGTTCTTTGATTTTCTTCAACAATCACTAGCTTCTAGTCCACTCATTACTGAATTTTATCATCAAATAACATCAGTAGACGTTTTCATCAGATTAATTATGTCTACTATTTCAGCTAAATTAAAAGAACATCAACATCATAATGCACAACTACAAGAGACAATTGATGATTTGGATGAAACCGTGGCTGATCTCGAAGATCAGATAGACAAACTAAAGTTAAAGTGTAATGAGCTTGAACAATACAATAAACGCAAAAATAAAATTATTTGTGGAATTTCTGAGATGCACAGAACAAAAATAGCGATAAGATTGCTGTTGAAATTGGAAAAATAACCGGTCACTCACTTGACACAAAATTCATCTATGCTTCTCATCGTTTAGCAGCTAAAAGTTTTTATCTTATTCAGATCATCATTATAAAATATCGAAGAATATTATGTGAGAACCAAGGCTTAAAGTTCTTTTGTGCCTGGAGTTAAGACAGATTTGTGCCCGTTTATGTTTTCTTGTGTCCGTTAAGACCTTTTGTGTCCGATCCGAGTACAAAAAAATCGTTTTACACTTTTGTGCTCGGAGAGAGATATGTGCCCGGTTTTAATTAGATTAGGAATAATAATGAGAAAGTTTAAAATCACCATTTATTTACTGACGTAGTGGCAGAAATAGACAGAACAGAGAGAATATGTAAGCATAACAGCTAAACACCGGACAACACATTTCCTACTTTTCTTGGTCTTCCGATTATCATGATTATGTGTTCACTAGACGTTGAAACAGCAATTTTTTCATCATTGTAATAGATCACACGAATTTGAAAATCGCATTCAGAATATTTTCTAGCTTGAGTACACCGATATGTTGCGTTTTTTCCACGAGCTATTGTTTCGGTTCGTTTTATTGAAACTTTATTTTGTTTATAAATTATTTCATATCATTTTCATCAGAAAATTCCTCTACAAAATTCCACTCTCTCCCAGCCATAGTTTAAAATAAAGTTTAGTTGAAAATTTCTTTCTGAATTCATAATTGCATAATATATCAATCGAATTTCGGATCCTTGATCAACATTGCCGGTCTGTGAATACTGTGTAGTACTTTATACATCTTGTACGTTAACATATAGATGTATGTCACAAGCGATATCTGTCAGGATAACTTATGGTCTACTGTTAAATTTTCCCGCACAAAAACTAGGCAAAAATCAATCAAATCCGGGCACAAAAGTGTAAAAAGATATTTTTATACCCGGATCGGGCACAAAATGTCTTAAACGAGCGCAGATCTGCTTAATTCCGGGCACAAAAATATCTTCGTCCGAGGACCACCGTTATAAAAGTGTGTTTATAAATGAACATCTAAAATTGCTTAATTATGATCTCTTCCAATGTGCTCACTAACAATTGTCACTAACAAAATCGTGAAATAAAATATCCAACAATTTTTTTCGTAGTTCACGGTTGTTTTCTCCACTACTGTCATTTAGCTCTACTTTTTACTAGTCAAAGTTTTCTTTTTTTACATTCTCTTCTCTCATCTGTTGTATTACACGCATAAGGATTTAGCCAAATTGTCAGAGTATGACAGCCGATATCGAGACGGTTATGGATAAATCGCTAAAAACAGCTGAGGTATCATTTTCAATCGAAATACTTGTATTACTGAATATAAGAAGTATATTAGCTAAGGTAAAAAAGGACCCGACCAACACTCGAACGAAGTTTGATCTTTTATCTGCGGTCTGCAATCAATCAAAAGATTCTTTCATTACGATTAAAGAAACATGGCTTGACTCAGCAATACTGGATGAAGATATCCTACTAAATAAATACAAAACCGAACACTTTGATAGAGTCACAGATGGAGGAGGCTGCTTTCTTTATTATTAGGATCACCTACAGACTCCAAACGTTTGGTCGCAGCTGTATGGCTGCGAGAGCTGGATCATCACAAAAACGCTCGAAAGCAGTCTCAACAGCTTTGCTACCAGTTGTTACAGAATAATGCTCAACATCAAGAGGCTGGACAAGATTTCAAACAAAAGCATT